CTGAGGCTGTGAATATGCTCTGAGGCTGTGAGTATGTTCTGAGGCTGTGAGTATGCTCTGAGGCTGTGAGTATGCTCTGAGGCTGTGAGTATGCTCTGAGGCTGTGACTGAGGCTGTGAGTATGTTCTGCTGAGGGCCCTCACTCACCTGCTCATGTCTGTGGAAACGCAGACTCCCAACTCCTCACAGGTGGAGGTGGAAGAAAAAAAGCCGGAGATCATCGTGAAAGAGAAGAAGGAAGTGAAGCGCAGTAAGAGCTGGGGGCGGAGATCCACCCGGACAAAGAAAAACATCAGTTACAGGTGGGGACACCAGCCTGGTGGTAGTCTGGATCTGTGTTTTCTCCTCCCAGCCGATGGGGACAAGCCTAATACCCGTAGTATGACCGGCTGTAACTGAGCTGTAAATGTTTCAAAAAGAGGGGGAAGGTGGCATATTCTGTTTAAAAAGCTAAACTTGATGCTGGTGGAACCATTCCTGAATTCATGGTCCACGTTTCAGCTGTAAAATAGTGAAATGCTCGTTTTGCAGATGTGTCCCCATCACATGAACGCAGACACTTGCACTGCCATGAAATAGTGTTGGGACGTAGCTTCAAAGGCCCTGGGAGGCAGAATGACTCATCTTTGGATTCATTCCACAGATTTGATGAATTCGACGAGGCTATTGAAGAGGCCATAGAGGAAGACATCAAGGAAGCAGAAGGTGGTGGTAAGAAACTCCTCTAAGGAAAAACTGCCCAGCTCACTCTTTGAGTACAAGTGATCATTTCATAGCTTATTATGTGTTTTTTAGGGAAGCTTTTAGTTGTCTTTACTCAGCGTGTTCGAACCATACAGGGGCTGGCCGTGGCAAAGACATGGCCAACATCACCGGCCACCGAGGGAAGGACATCTCCACCATCCTCCAGGCAGAAGAGGGCCAGGAGAACGGCGTGCTGCCCCGGCCCAGCGCCGGCCAGCGCAGGAAGAAGCGCCGGCGCCTCAACGACCTGGACAGCGACAGCACGGTGGACGAGGAGGAGAGCGAGGAGGAGTTCCGCCTCAGCGAGAGGTGCCCTGACCCTGACCCT